CGCCGCCGGCCGGCCCGCGCCGCCCGCCACCCCGCCCCGCCGCGGGAAAGGTGGCGCGGACCGCGGGCGGCGGGCGGGGCCGAACGCGCACAAAGGTCTCCCCAGCCCCTAGGGGGCTCGAGCTAGTTTGGTGACCTGAGGAAGTTTGCATTTCCGGCGCCGCGACTCCTGCGCCTCCGTTGGAGCAATTTGTCGTGGCAGCCCCAATCATTGGCGCAACCACCGCCACCTTCTATTTACTTATTTATTGACGCTTCCTTCTCGTCTCTTCTCCACACCAGCCTTTTAGGAGCTAGGGTGGCCCCCTTTTTGCATCTGGGGAACCCGAAGGCCCCGGCGGTCGTGAGTGGGCCGAGGGCGCGTGGCCAGTAAGCGGTTCCAGCCACCGCCGCAGCCCGCGCGCCTGCGGGTGGACGGGCCGCTCCTGTCTGCACTCGTCCCGCCGGGGTTTTGGGGCTGTCCTCGCGGTATCCATCCGGCTGCGGGCAGGGAACCGTGTCCCCGCACCTGTCCCTGGGAAACCTTCCCCACCCCACCTCCATGCTTAGTCCAGGGAGTCCCTGGATTTCAGCTTTCGTTGAGCTGGGCTGCAACCTTGGCTTAGGTCCACGTCCTCCTGAATGGTTTTCTTGTGGCACCTGGACGCCCTTCCTCCTTTCTTCTCTGCCAGGAGTAAATAGATCCGCTTGCGTCCTCCAGGGAGGAGACAAAAACATGCAGTTTACAGATGTTAGTGAAAGTAATGGTCGTGAAACTTTCTCAGTTTTCAAAAATCTCCCTCCGACCTGCATGTATTTACAAGTTGTTTTTTCACCGGTTATAAAAGTGGTTTACATAGTTTATGTTGCTTTGAATGTCCCTGAATGACCTATAATTAATTCGCCAGTGAGGTTGTAAGCTTTCAAAGCGTTTGGGTTTATTTCTGTTAATCCTCATTGGAGTTGTAAATAAACGTGAGTGAACTGATTACTTCCTTTTGAGGAAACGGTCCTTTTCATTAAGATATCATTTTATATCTTTAGAGTGATTCTGAAAGAAGTTGTCTTTTCTGGAAGCTGATGGATTCAGTAAAGCTTTTTAAATAAAGGGCATCCAGTCTGTGGGTTCTGTGGACTCATGCACCATGGGAACAAAAAGCAAGGATCTTTGATTAAAAGACAAAAGGTGGGGGAGGACAGATAGGTTCTGAGAGATGATTTTGGTAAAGAATTGAGATTTTGAGTTCACTGCTGCAGGATTGGTTGGCGTAAATATTGCCACTCAAACACCTGCTAGAGTTATTCAGCAAATCCAGGGAACTTAAACCCTTTTATGAGATTAAAATGTTTTTCCTTTTTATAAATGTATGATATTTCTCAGTTGAAAGACACCCGGGGGGACAGAACCATAAAATGGAAGCGTTTAGGGGTCCTTATGTTTTAACAAGTGCCTTAGGTGATTCTATGATCAAGCAAGTTGGGCCACCTGAACTAGGTGATACCTGGACTGAGCTAAAGGTGGCCAATCTTTTTTTTTTTTAAATGAAACAATGTGAAGTTTACCTGTTTCCATAGCTTTATTACACTTTATCATTTGCTTTGGTGTAGAGAGAGAAAAGGATTTTTTTTTTTTTTTTTTTTTTTTTTTTTTGAGACAGGGTCTTGCTCTGTCGCCTGGGCTAGAGTGCAGTGGTGTCATCGTAGCTCACTGCAACCTCCAACACCTGAGCTTAAGGGACCCTCCTGCCTCAGCCTCCCAGGTAGCTGGGATTACAGGTACACACCACCATGCCTGGCTAATTTTTGTGTATATATATATTTTTTAATAGAGACAGAGTCTTGCTCATGCTCAGGCTGGTCTCGAACTCCTGGCCTCAAGCGATCCTCCCACCTTGGCCTCCCAGGGTGCTAGGATTACAGGCATGAGTCACTGCGCCCAGCCTGATCTGCTTATTGTTATAATTTTCCCAGTGATGAGGAGGAAAAGGGAGCGAAGTCAGGAACACATGATTTGTAGCAATAAACAATCGGTTCTCTTTCTTCCACCCTGACCAGTGGCTTGATCTAGTGAACTTGAGAACACATCTGTGAACCAGAAATACCAAGGTCTTTTTTCATGAACTGTTAAGCTAGAACAACCCCC